GATTTTGATTTTTCATGTAACAGCCCTATATACCATCAAACTTCACACATTTGCATGTACCCTTGTTACCATGTTGGCACGTTTTAAATCGCTTTTAAGTACTTCATGATGATTGTACGATCTAGGCATTCATTATTTTATACCTGTTTGTTGGCGAAGACAAGGAGAATAGCATCCCTTAGTTCATCTTCATTCAACATCCGGTTCAGTTCTTCTCTTGCTTCACCGACACGCTCGCGATCATTACTATCCACCACGAAAATCAGACCTAACAAAACACAAACGAGAAAAATAAACGCAAATTTTAGAAGAATCAAACGAAGACAAACTCGAGAAGAGAGGTCCGCCGACGATATTGCACAACATTTCGAATTCAACAACCGGCAACCATACCTTGTGTATTTTGAAAGTAATGTCGCCAAAGTGGCCTGATTTTGTCCTGACCGCCGACATCCCAAACTGTAAAGCTTATGTTCTTGTATTCCACTGTTTCCACGTTAAAACCTAGGGGCGCAAGTTTGAAATTATGTCAAAGTTAATTCATGTTAGGCAAGAATGAAACACACATGACACAACAAACTGTCATGGCGTCTCAACAAGTGGATCGCCGCGTCGCTTTGTACATACCAATTGTAGGGATGGTTGTAACGATTTCTCCGAGCTTCAGCTTGTACAGAATTGTCGTTTTCCCAGCAGCATCAAGACCAACCATGAGAATTCTCATCTCCTTCTTACCGAAGAGTCCACTGAATAGTTTGGCAAACGCACTTCCCATGTTTCAGAACTTTATAATTGCTCCTTGAAAGCAAACACCAGAAGATGTTAGGAAACAATGAGCCGAAAAAGGAGCTTAGTATAATGCGAGGACTTTCCTATCTAACGGTTTCGTTTACCTTAAAAATAAAGGTCTTTCCAAATGGCAAACTTTACAACAAATCTGCCCACTGAAAAACTCGACACGTCGTCCACCAATCTCGTTACCAGGACTGCCCGAGTCTTTTAAAAAGTCTTTGAGGACTGGGAACTAGACCATCAAAAGAAATGTGGGCACTTGATATTACTACTTGTTTCAAGTCGTTGGTTTTGTGATTTTCATTGCCGAATGGGTTTCTCCCTACCAGTTCGAGTGTCTCTGTTTTTGTGTGTGTGTTTTTTGTCTTTGATTTGGAACTTTTTTGGTGAAGATCGAGAAGGGGGTGGGGTGGGGTTACAGGTCAGAAATAGGGCAGACAAAAATCCTTCACAGGTTCATAGCAACAACAGCAAAAAACAATTGAGCAACGTGAGGTGCGCCTAAAATATGTATGAAAGAAACCTAGTACTGGAGTCTTTCCACATAAGTTTGCTTTTGGCCTTGCAGTTTTAGTGTTTGTGTCCTCAGATTGACAAACTAGAAGCACTCGCTGNCCCCCCCCCCTTCAAAACTACTGAATAGCCAACCCTGAGGTTTGGATGCTCAACCAATAATTTGCACTTCATTAACGCCAAGGGTGATGGTGATGGAGTCACCATCCCACTTTCTATATTATATAGATATAAATATATTTTTTTTTATTAAAGAACAGGGCACAGGATGAGGTGTTTGTACACGAGGTTTTTGTAGTTGACCCTACCAAAGCAGTCTACCCCCAATGAAAATAAAATTTCCTAGAGCAGATAAAATACATGCCAGATATAGCAGCAGCTTTCCACCTCTCCTTACAGCCATCTTTTTCATCTTAACACTGACATTTGGCCAGATGACAGTAACCTGAAAGGTCTCTCAAGACCTTCAAATTATGGTATTAAATTCAGCAGTGTTATTATTGCAATTTTCCGACTTTTGTACAAAATTCCAATATTCCATGACTTTCCCGACCTTGAAAAACTTGTTTTCCCTGACCATTTCCGGATCCGTAGCAACCCTGTTAAGGGTTACGGAAAGCAAATACTATCACTTTGTTGTTCTATGGATAGTGGATTTCATTTGTTTTGTTACCCTTATGGGCCAGCATCAAACATTGGTCGGGCTAGTCACCATTCTCCTTCACAGCCACTTGGGCCGCAGTCACGTTCCCCGTCCCCACACGACTGCTTATAACAATGAACCAATCACAGTCCTGCTTCAATTTCTGCCAAAACTGTCTACCAATCAATGGCCAGTCAGAGGTTTTTTTTTATCATGCAAGCTACCCTGTCATGGTCCAGCATATCACAATAAATGGGTACTGCTTGGTCCGAGTACAAATATGGCAACTAATGGGGAAGGAAGGTATGTTGGCTGAAGTAGCCACATGTAGAACAGCAGAGCATTGCATGACTTCAGCCCATGCAGCTGCAAACAGAACTTAAATGCCAGTCCCAATGACATATCTCACATCAATGCTTTTTGCTGTGCAACTCATTACCGAACCATTCAATAACAAGAAAACTCAGTTTTTAATGGTTCATCGTCATTGCCAAAAACAGTAATCAATAATTATTAGGTTTTTTCACATTATTAAAAGGTGCAGTTAAATAACATAGCCATCACCATCTTCAGTGATAAATGCAGTTACAACTGAAGACGGGTTAATCCTTGAAAAAGTGTTTCTATTCCGCATAACTACTTCTAAATCATTTTGGGCTATGTTCACAAAAAGCATATATGCAGGACTTAATCTAATCTAGACTTGCCACAAGTCAACCTTTTCTTAATCCTTGACTTATTTAACGGGCCAGGGAAGAAATATTGGAAAGGACTTTTAGAAAGTCTAAATCCAATCGTGTATATGTGCATAGGTCTATGATAAGTAAATAAATAGCAGCCACTGCGAACATTAATACAAATTTTATTCCTGGTGAATTCACTTACAGTGTGTATAGTCTTTACAGCAGGACACAACCCGGGTCAGGTATCACAATAATGTGATTCAAATGATCTGATGACAAGAAAACCACTTTTGATGAAGTCAAAGAACAAGTTACAAAAGACTTCAGAAAGCAATTATTGCAGTGAAGACTTCTTCACAAATGACTGTTGACAATAGCACCGACTGCTTTTACCACACATTGCCAAAATCACTCACTAGACCACAGGGCATGCAAGACATGCTCCATACGAGTTACTTCAAGCCTCAAGCTACAGGTTTCTAAGCCTTCCACCCATGCAGCATGCCAAGTTCAATAATTATTCCAATGCACTTTTCACTGCTGTGAGTTACTTCAGAAATTTGCATCACAATAACTTTAGTTAGTTCATCAGATAAACTTCACTACTTAAAAAAAAAAACAAACAAACAGAAGAATGAACACCAATAACATATGTACAGAAGTGGACTGACACTGTTCCTGGTTACTGTTAAACCTAAATGGCTAATGTTAAGCAAGACAATTAACTACTGGTTATCATAAGATGAACCTTGTTAAGAAAATGTAGTCATCAGATTTAGACTCCAAATTATCACCTGCGTCTCAACCTGAATAATGCAATACTATGACAGAATCAGAGCAAGAAAATACGAAAGTTAAAAATTGAAATTTCTACCTTTCAAAATAATTACATGCAAAATAATTGATATTTTAGTTATATATTTTTTGACTATTTGCCTTACATGAAAAATTACTTGGGCATAAGCATGTGATTTGCTCGCCCAAGAGACTAATGGAAAACTGTTCATGATTTCATAGAAGTAAAACCATCGTTACAGTTGAATCCCGCTATTTCGAACTCTCAGGGGAGACAAAAAATAGCTTGCAATAGTGCGAGTTTGAAATAGCTGAAATTTAATGAGTGAAGGGCCAATCCAAGGGAAATGGTTTTGGGTTTGAAATAACGAGGAATTCAAAATAACCAAGTTCAAATTAGAGGGGTCCAGCTGTACTTCGGCAATGCTATTATACAACAATGAAACCAACAAATGATGTGAGGAACATTTCTTACAGGTTGACATGTTTTGTGTTCTCAATTACGTTATCATTGACAACACAAGACACCAACAAAAACAATATTCTCTATGAAAATAAAGCAGGGAAACAGTACACTAGGAATATGCAATCAAAGGAGATTAGCCAGTGGATTGTTCATCATTATCCCTACTTCAATGTCTTTGCCATGCGTGATTAGTGATAGAGTTTTCATTCATTCTGCCACATCATTTCTGACTATTTTTAAGCTGGTTTGATAGCCAGTCAAGTCCTTCATATAAACCATCTCCACTTGTAGCACATGTAGCTTGTATGTACCATGAGCGATTTCTTAAGCTGTGTAGGCCTAGCTTATCTGTTATTTCAGCAGCATTCATTGCATTGGGCAAATCCTGGAAGACAACAAGAACTGTTTAGAACAAAGGAGTAACACAATTACACTACTACGAGATGTTTTATAGCATGGATCAGTATGTAGAGACACTTAATTAACTTAGAGCAACAACAGCTTCTAGTCCAGAAAGCTTTTCTTTACACCACTCTGGTAAGTTCAGAAAGTAGTGATCCCATAATTTTCAGATTTAGCTGCCTTTTGAAGGACTATTAACCCAGGGTTACAACTTTTGAGGTCTAAGACAAAATGCAAAACAACACCCATATGGTATAACCAAGGTTAGCTTTGCTTGGACCCTTGACAATCTCAGAAAACTAGGAAGGTTTGTGAACAGAATTTCTCCTTCTTATGACTACCATAAACTTCTGAAAATAATGAGGGTTGTTACTTTCAGAATTAGTAACCTTTGGGGCTCGTTACTTTCAAGGTCATTATTCTTGGGGAGCAAAAAGCATTATGTAAAATTGGTGTGACTAAGCTTTGTTATGACACGAGAGTCGAAATTCGTAAAAGCAGTTATCAAGATACGAGATGTGAGATACAATTTTTGTTCCAGTTAAAATCTATGTTACTCCAGGGTTGTCTCTAAGCACCGGCTGAGAAAAAGGTGATCACCGGCTGGATTTTGGCGAGCAATCACTTGGTAAAGAACAATGAACAGTTTTTAGGTTACACACGTACAATCATTTTAAATCTGAACCCTATAGAACCATCTAAATGAAAAGTTTGGAATAAATTCCTGACTACTTTGAGTATCGGTACCACTATAACAAGAAACATAATTGAAATCAAATCTTGTTTTGAGCACTTGTTTAGCATGTTTTCTTCTCTGTTCTCTTGGGGGGGTCACCATTTTCAGGATTTGTTTGCAGCCACAATTTTTTGACATTACTTTCAGGGGTCATTACTTTCGGAAGCTTACAGTAGCTGCAGTATTTTACCCGAGTAATGTGATGTAAGCAATCACTTTTTTCAACTAACTGATCAATACCTACTACCAAGACCAAGAACCAAGGATCAAGAAACATGGAGAGAGAGATAGAGTAACAGACCCTGTTTCCCAGTTGGGAAAAAGAGCACAATGGTGATAGTGATGACGACAATGATGACAATGACGATCAATGCACACTACAAACACCTTGCACATACTCTGGCCAGAGGTACATCTCATAGGACAGCAAAATTCTAAGCTTACTTTCACTACATTTCAAATTATTGAAGGATAATTCAGCGGCCACCAGATTGATTAAGTCGTCTAAATTAATGAAAACTCCATGTGCTAAGTCGTTCCAAAAGAACAAGTGATTGTCAAATCAAACGACAAGATGGGCATTTTTTTCTGCAAATGACGTCGTGCTACGCTTGGCAAATCAAAGAGGAAGAAGAAGAACAGTGGATGCGACTCACATGTCACACTCCACCGCTAGAGACAAATCATGTCATAAAACTTGGTAAAATAGGCCTAACCTTACTGGCGGAAATTGTCTCGCTTGGTTGCAAATCTCGATTTATAGGGCTACACTTACTTCACGGCAGTATTTTGTGAGCACTAACTTAATATCAAATAAAACACTAACACATGTACAGCACAGATAGAATTACAGTTCTCCGTCATCATTTTCCTTTCATACCTGTTTGTTAGCAAAGACGAGAAGAGTTGCATCTCTAAGTTCGTCTTCACCCAACATCCGGTTCAGTTCTTCTCTTGCCTCACCGGCACGCTCGCGATCATTGCTATCCACGACGAAAATCAGACCTGACAACAGATACATCAGAAGAATTCATCCAAATTCTAGTAAAATTAGAACAACGTTAAATGCACAACGATGGATAACTGGACCGTTGCGGAACATTTCCAATTCAAAAACCGGCAACCATACCTTGTGTATTTTGGAAGTAATGTCGCCAAAGTGGCCTGATTTTGTCCTGACCGCCGACATCCCAAACTGTAAAGCTTATGTTCTTGTATTCCACTGTTTCCACGTTAAAACCTAGGGGCGCAAGTTTGAAATTATGTCAAAGACGTTTTGATTGAGGAAATGACTAAAATGCACGCGACAGAACAAACTGTCATGGCGGCGTTCGCCAAAGTCGCTTGGTACATACCAATTGTAGGGATCGTTGTAACGATTTCTCCGAGCTTCAGTTTGTACAGTATTGTCGTTTTCCCAGCAGCATCAAGACCAACCATGAGAATTCTCATCTCCTTCTTCCCAAAGAGTCCACTGAATAGTTTGCCGAAAATACCTCCCATCTTTCAAAGTCAATCGCTTACCGAAACCAAAGCTAAAAACACGAAAAAAGTATTGAGCAATAGTGAGCCGAAACAGCCCGAAAATTGACTTAGCAATATTCCCTAAGAATAGTCATTTACCCTTTAAATGTTATGGGTCTGACAAAGTTTAAGTAGATTATTTGAAGACAAGCTGACAACAAATTTGCCCGGCGAAAATTCGACCACGTCGTTAACTTTGTTGAAGAAGGAAACTCGTTACTATTGGGCGCGTCACATGTGCCACGTCATTGTCTAGGATGGGGGGCTTGTTGTATTCCCCGTTGATTTAATATAGTGCGACCCCAGATTTTTGCAGGAACTCTGAATTAGAATGTACTGGCGAAAGTAAAATCCATCTTTTTAAGTGAAACGTTTTGGTTGCGGGTTGGAAATGTTACTTTCTTTCACCGCGAAGAGCCTGCTCGCAGGCTGACTCAGAGATGGAAACTGACCTGGGAGGGAGCTTGGGGGGTGGGGCAGGGGTACTGGTATGTTGTTCGATCACTTCGCACAAAATACCGATGGGGCTAAAAGACTAAGGCCCCGTCTACACGTATCCGGAGTATTTTCGAATCCGCAAATTTTTCTTTCCGGATTCAAAAATTTGCCTGTCCACACGTAGCAAAAATATTCGGATTCGCTGCCGAATTCGCCGGATGCGTGTGGACGGAGGCCGTATCCGGAAAGAAAAAGTTGCGGATTCAAAAATATCCGGATACGTGTGGACGGGGCCCTAGAAATTGTTTAACTATCAAAGAATTTTTTTTCTTTACCAAATTAAAGAAAAAAGAAAATTTGTAAATAACCACCCAGTATCGAACCCGGAGCCTCTGTTCCTAACATCCCTCTTATACCCCTAAACTACCAGGTTGATCCGCCAAATCTCCGCAAAATTTAATTATGAAACGCGACTTTCCTAAATTTTAATGATCGAGTTGCCCCAACCATCAAATAAAAGCTAACCGCAAGCAAACCAGTGTGAATATAAACAATTAAGCGTTTGGTGAGTGCGTTTTACTCTATCAACAAATTATAACCAGTTTCTACCTTGTCCAGGCCTAAACTAAAGCAGATATGGCATCGTCCAATCTGAAAGGCTTGGTTACCAATGATAGCAGCGACCGTTTACGAAACGGAAATCAGCGGCATCGCTGTGCGCGTTCCCCTGTCTACGCAGAACTTGGTCATTTAAGGCCCATTAACCGATTCAAGCGCGCGCTCGCGCGCGTTGCTAAAGAGGTGAAATTTCACTTCCGGTTACTTACGTCAGCCTGAGCGCGGAATAACAACTCAAAAACTTGAAAATTCGCTTGCATTTTAGATGTTTTTTATGTGTCTTTCACAAAATGCAAAGTACAAAAAGTACCAGCAAAGACAAAATAAGAGAAAGACAGAAAAACAAGAGCAATAGAAATAGAAAAACTAACTCCATGTGGCTTTGTCTAATCTTACCGAAGAGCGCTGGTAGTGTAAATTTCGCCCGCGCTGATAGGGTAACTTCCAATATATATCGGGCGCACTTCCGGTTTCTTTAAATGCTAAAGGAAACACGGTTTTTCATTAAATCCATCCTTTTTCGACGAATTTCGATTAAAGCCAACGTTGGAAACATACCTATGCATTCCTTTTTCGAAATCATGCTTTTTTCAGAAAACTACGAACTTTTCAATATTTTGAAATGCTCTCAAAATCTGACCTTCTAGAAATGAAACAAAATCGATGCATAGCGTAATGAGGACTTAAATTAAAATATTAAATCAATGAAAAAAATCCCGATAAAGTAGTTTGCCTGGGAGCCTTTGCATTTTTTCTGTATTAGTCACATGACCATGGGTGTGGCCTGATGACGTCATCACTAGTGTTACTGATCATGAAAAAGGTAAAACACATGAAATAACTCTGAACTAACTAAAAATG